ATCTTCTTGCCTTTTTGTCTTTAAATAATCAACAACTTTGTCTCAGCTGATTTAATTCTTTTCCAGAGGCAAGTTTTACTGAAAGGAAAAATTTACAGAAATCAGAGAATTACGAGTTGGTGTAATACCAATACAGGCATCCATACGACATGCATACATCTATATCTGTGTGCATGTAAAGCCATTTGGGTCTGAGTAACAGAGCATTTAATTTCTATCCTACAAGAGGAAAAAATGTGAAGGGCCCTCTTGCTGTGGGGCTGAGATTTAATATTGAGTTGTCAATATAACCACCAACCAAGTATGCAGATTTCCATGAATCAGATGGATCCATGGATCAGACTCTCCAGCTTCTGAGAATCTACTAGTCATTGTTCATATCTGCTCCATTATTTGCATATGTCACAGGGTATAAATCACAGAGTATATTCCCAACTGCACGAATTGCCTAACATTTAACCCTGTTGTTTTCTACTGACTCTCCAGTCCATTAATTTATCTTCTCCTTCCAGTCACAATATTCTTCTTAACTTCATAGTCTTAACATGTGAAGCCCACCAAGTTTCATACTGGGATTAAAAACAAAATAAAATCTGCTTTAAGGCCTGATTGAATTGTTTGCAGAGTGTCTCAATTGCATAAGAAAACATGATTGCAGCTGGCTACATAAATTGTTCTGGCCTGCAGGCCTGTGCTAATATTGCAACAACAAAAATGTCCTATGATATTGTAAGTAGAAGCTGTTCACATAATATGTAGGTGAAACAGGTTATAAAAATTTTCTCCAATAGGCAAAGAGACTTGCCTCTTACATTTTTTCCAACTATTCAAAGGAGAAACATTCCTGAATTTTTTTTACAAATATCAGGATTTTCATAGCTGAGAAAAAGACAGATATCTCCTGAAATCAATTAAAATACCCTAAATACATGTATGTTTCTTGTGATTCTTTTCAAATAAAGACCCAGTCCTTGATGAGCAAGAACTTAACAGCACTCTCATTACTATCTCAAAAGAAGAAACACATTTCATTGACACTGCAACTCTACTTCTTTTTGTGCAGTGAGAAACAGCATAAAGGAGTAAAAAACCCAAAACAACCCAGATTATTAACATTTGTAATGGCTGAAGTGCAGTTAACAGCCTTGGGAAAAAAACAGAGCTGACCAATCAGAGAAAAAGACAAACTCCAAATTTTGTATCTTTGCTTGACCATGAAAACTATGAAAAACTCTACAGGCACCAAATAGTTATGATTTTCATGCCAATATAAACTGAATTAAGACTTGGAAAATAACTGAATTATTGGTCTGAGCTCTGCAATATTTAGAAATAATGCCACAGGAAATTTCACTGGAAGACCCAGGTTATTATTGTGACACTAGGAAGCTGGACTCAAGCTGTCTCTGTAGTCCTCATTATAAAATTTCTATCTTAAATCCAATACCCAAGTTGCAACTGGGACCCCTCTGTACTGACGTCTTTCATTCATTTTCTGTGTTTAGATCATAAATTCTTCAGGGTATGCAGCATATGTCTCTTTGGACAGATGCTGCATGCCATACAGCCACTGTCTTATATCAAGCCCCATCTGTTATTGCAATTTGTATTCCAAAACATGGCTTGAAGTGGTAATCACAAACTACATTGACCAGCTTTCATATTTCTGCTAGAATTAGATACTATGAAAGTAGAGCATTAAACTCTGCCTTTACAGTTCTGCAGTATTCACAGGAATCAGTGACATTTTTGTATCAGCGATCAGGATATGCTCTCCTTCAGGGATGTGTGTAGCTATGTATGTGCATGTCCAAAACCCATTTATAAGTGATTATGCTAAATCAAATCCAATCACTATCTTTCCCTCTGTTCTAAAAAAAGCAGCTCTTCTCCTACCTCCTCTTTTTCCTGGGAAAAGGGCCAGGCCTGCTGGATGCACAGTGGTCTCTGGGAATGTGCCATTTCAAATCACAGCTGAAAGGGGCACAGCCAGGTTGGCATGTTAGTGCAAGGACATGTAATGCTGGGGAGTTGAGGAGTAGAAGAGCAGAGGCAGAGGACATGCACCAACCAGGGTTTCGGCTTGGCACCACAGCACTAGATGAAGCTCTGTTCTTGGACTAAACCCCTACTTCCATTTTCACACATTTAAGAGTGAGCCAAACACCTATGTGTGAGCCATCACACATAACTGTTCATTTACTCAGGCTTACCCACTCTCATGTATTTATGGATTAAAAAGCCATAGAAGCATTACACAGGTCAGCTAATGTGACCTCCTGGAAAACTTTTCATTTAACTTTCAGAGGAGGTCAGAGGAAAGGGAAAGACCCCTTTACTTCAAATTCTCAAGAAAAGAGGGACCACACAGTGTGTGGTAGATTTTTCCAAAGGCTAACTGATAAAAGGAGAGAGGAAAAGGCTTCTTTGCTTCTGGTTTGAACTCACTTGGCGTCAACTTTCAAATACACACTTCTGATGTACTGAAAATCCTTTATCAAAGCTGTATTTTCCAAAGAGATAATTATAGAGCTCTTACTCATTAATATTATCCTCAAGCCCAGCTGGGTTACTTCTTTGATCTATGACTTTGGTGCATATTTTCCATTCTTTTTGGACATAATAATTTCAAAATTCAGGAAAGCCTATGTCCTGATTTTAAAAGCTATCATTGGAAAGAAAACATTTTGAATCCATGCAGGCTAAGAATCATCTCACATTCAGCCTTATTCCGTACCCACATGAGGTATGCTTGCATTTTAGCAAAACAAGAATAACATGATTGAGGAACTACATACTAAAATTAATAACAGTATAATTAAAATATAAAAACAGCACTTTCTGTGTTTTTTAGTCATCATTATGCTAATCTTATAGCTTGAGAGGTTCCTCCATCTTCTATGGAAAAAATTAATCCCCTAAAGATAACTTTAATTCAGCAGAAATGTTGAATAAGGTGCAGTCTACATCAAGAAATGTTTTAAAATCAGTAAAAAATTCAAAAGATGAATGCATTGAATGTAGATGATAATTTTTATGTTTATGCATAATGTATTATGTCTCATAATTGGATATAACTCCAAAAGTTATCACACATAAGTAATAATTTCAATTGAAGACTATATTCTATGTTACTTTCTCCCATTTTCACAATTCACCTTTTCCTATACATTGCTGCATGATTCAACAATTATTCAATAATTTAATCACTGCCAGTTTTGTTCCCTGTTCACCTAATTCTGTAGAAAGCGCAAGCGAAGGCTTTGGCACCCTAGAGCTGGAGGACCATAGGGCAAACATAGTAGAATATTTTATAGCTCAGAAACATACAGAGTATTTCAGAACATTTATTCAAGATTCAACTAAAATTCTCCCATGAGCAATACACTGAGTTCTTTTATTGGCAAGAACAAAGGAAACCACATAACTGCACTTATTCTCATTTTTTTTATCTTCCACATAGAGTATGTCAGCACACTAGCAGGAAATGAATTTAGATTTTCATTATTAGTATTATTGAGTTGAACCTCAGTTCAGAGAATACTCCAGCAACATGTCTAGACAGTTTAACCACCTGTAGGTGGAATTCAGAATGAAATAATGTTCTGCATAAACACTGGAAAACTTTGAGATTCAACTGCACCCATATTTTTTAGCCTATTTCTGTGATTTGTTCTCACTTTCAATTTCTGATATAACTAAGTTATTTTAGGAACATTTCAAACATAAATGAGAGGATAAATTTGTAACCTCTGAATCAAGTGTAGTCTCTGAGGGCCAGAAAGATAACCTTTAACTTGAAATTTATAAGGGTGAGAGAAACCATTTTGTTTTAATGCAAAACTATTACAGTAAAAATACTGTATAAATACTGCTATGTTGCTCCAAAACAGAAATCGTAGGGCAGGAAAATGATAGACAGTCTCATGTAAACTATCTCAATTCCAGGAAAGATTGAGTCAGAGACTAGAACAGATGTTCTCCTTCAGAACACATAATAAAAGTACATAATTCTTTAATATACTGCAATTCCCTATAAACTGAGTGACTTACTATGTATCTACTTCCCTCAGTGGCATGATGGCTGTATAGGTTTTAAACTAACTTTTTTTAAGCAACAGCTATGAATATGCAAACATCTGCAAGTTACTATATTTTGCTATTTGAATATCTGGAGTAAAAATTCTGAATTAACTAGCCAGAAAGATGGTATCTCTTACTTTAACCAGTTCAGAGAAATTCTGTAGCTTATTCCAGGAAACTAAGAAGAAAATAATTATTCAAATACTGAAATGTAACTACTTCAAAAAGGGAAAAAGCAAAAAGCAACTCTGTAGAAACAGCTTGTTTTATATATGGTTAGGAATACCATTACACCATTCCCTTTTACTTTCACCATTTCATCTAATTACAGCTCCTGTTCTCAAAGTAACTCAGTTTCTTCATTGTCACACTGCAATCTTTCTCTACTCAACTTACTTTTGAAATAAAACAGGAAAATGGGGAAATAAAATGAGGAAACAGGCTCAGTTTGTCCTCTGTGCAAGAAAAAAATTATAGAAAAGAGAAAAATAGGAAGAAAAAAAATCAGAAGTGGGAAATAAAGAACTCCAAAGTATTCAGAATTTTTTTACTTAAGATATCTATAAGCTCCACTGCATTTTGAGGATTACTGGACAGAGTCCAAATATACTGAAGAAGGGCTATGGGTCGCCATTATGATCAATGAAATTGAAACAATTAGAAAGGATTATGTATGAAAATTTAAGCCTGCAGAGATGAATTATCTTTCAGCACTTCATTTGCCCTCCTTTTTAATTTTTTTTTTAATTTAAAATTTAGAATATCCATGTCTCTCTTACTACGTTGGAAAATAGCAATTCCTTCCAGTTCCAGAGGAATATAAAATTATCTATCTCTGAATTAATTTTCTGCTTACAAAAAGAAGATTAGCCAGACGACACACATTTAGATATTTTATACATTAAAGGCTGATTTACCTTGTCACCGTCAGTGAAAGTCATTCCATCAATGGCCCTTTTCCAAGTAATCTCTGGGATAGGTTCTCCTTCTGCTTCACAAATGAGGGTGGCTTTCCCATTCTCAAACACGGTTTCATTTTTAAGTTGTATTATTTGAGGCTGCACTGTTAAAAATACAAATTGCATTACTGACCCTGCACGAAGAATGTCATATCAAAATCTATCTTTAAAACACCTTTTTTTTTTCTGTTAAAGCACATTTTTTGAAATCTTTTTTTAATTAGGATTCAGTTAAGATTTAATGCTGCCATCTATAAAAGCAATCAACTTTTCTGACTTCAAGTTGTACAACATTTTATGTATGCCTCATGACTAGAACACCCCCAGGGCTGGCAGATCCCTTGCTGGGGGAGTGTGGGATTCATCCTGGCTGGCAAGACCACTGCTTTGGTGGCTGCATTTTCTGCTTTTTTTCCTAGCTTGCTGTTCCTTAGGGACCAGTCAATCCTTGCTACTCTCTAGTACTTCAAGAACGAAGCGAAGGTTCAATGATTCCATGATGCTTCTGCCTCCAGGTAAGAAAAACTTCATGCACCAGTGCAGGCAGGATGCTGACTGGCTGGAAAGAAGCTCTGCAGAGTATGCCCAGGGGTCCTGGTGGTCAAGAAGTTGAGAATGAACCAGCAATTCACCCTTGGTAGAGAAAGCTACAAGGGTCTTAGACATGTGTATAAATACCTGACAGAGGAAAACAGAGATGGAGACAGAACCTTCTCAGTGATGCCCAGTGACAGGACAAGAGGCAACGGGCACAAATTGAAACACAGAAAGAGGAAAAGCCTGAGAATAAAGAGAGGAACAAGCACCCAGGAGACTGTGGAATCTCCACCCTTGAAGATATTCAAAACCCAGCTAGACATGGTCTGGAGACACCCACTCTGGCTCTCTCTGGCCTAGATGGTCTCCATCTCCAAAGAAACCCTAGGCATTCTTTGATTCTGTCATGACCAATGTTTGTTTTCAAATGCAAATCATTCAGGAAAAAAAATAAATAAATTAGAAATTACTACTATTTTTGGACTTTGATCTTTAGCAATGCTTAACTGCCTTACATATATTACAGAATTCAGCAAAATCCCCCAATAACAAACATATTACACTAATACTAACACTATTAAGAACTGAATAGTCCTCTGACACAAAGCTGTTCATCTTTATTTACCAAGTAAACTAATGGTAAAATACAGTTTAAAAATCCCAGATATTGTTTGCATTCTTCAAATCATTTGATTTTATAGCCTCAAGTACACAGAAAGTGCAGCTCAGCTCTCATCTGTACTGTACCTTGCCAGGTTATTTACATATGCAACACAATTTCTGGTTACATGCGAACACTTTTACTTCAAGGACTTACCTGTACAATATTGCACAAGAACTCTGTTGGAGAACTCTGCATAGAATATTCATAGAATCAACCAGGTTGGAAGAGACCTCAAAGATCAAGTCCAACCCTACTGTCGTTACTAGACCATGGCACTATGTGCCACATCCAGTCTCATCTTGAAAACCTCCCCGAGCAGCCCATTCCAATGCCTGATAACGCTCTTCATTAAAAAAATCTCTTCCTAATATCCAACCTAAACCTCCCCTGGCAGAGCTTGAATCTGTGTCCTTGTCCTACTGCCGGTTGCCTGGAAGAAGAGAACAACCCCCATTCAGGTATCCTCATTAAAATTTATTGGTCCTATATACTAATTCATATGTAACCATTACTAAGTTTCTCTGAACTAATTCACTTTATACATGGAATGAGACACCCCTTGGAAAGCCTAACGTAATCATGCAATAAGAATATGATTCCATATGTTTACACTTAAAAGCAGTGAATTGAGTTGCCTTGAGTGAATTAAATTTTGGCAGCTCTTAACATTGTCTTCATCAATTTTAAGAGCATTTGTTGAAAACAATGTAGTTTCTTTGTAGTTTTTCTGAGATTTGCTTTTGACTACTATAGTGTACTCCATATGAAACAAAATAAAATGTTTTCCAATAGGGACACTAAACTATTTGCTATGCAGAAGAGCAATATAGGCTCATGTCAATGGATCAAAAGCTGAAAGATAATAATTCAGTTTGGAATGGACTCCAGGAGGTCTTCTTGACCAAGCTTCTCATCAATACAGGGTCAAGAGACCCTGTTCAGATCAGATTGCTCAGGGATATATTGTGCACTATCTTCAAAAACACTCAGAACAGAGACTGCAGACTTTCTCAGCAGCCTTTGGCAGCACCTCACCATCTTCACAGCGAAAAATGTTTTCCTTTTGTCTGGTCTCCTGTTTCATTTTTAGAACACTATTTCATTTATGACTGTTGTCTCACAGATGCTACATTCAGCATCACCAAGAAAAATAATAAAATCAGGTTCAAACTTGCTATCTCTCTTTTCTCCATTTCCACCACATCATTATTGGTCTCACTTCTCATTCCTTACATCCATAATCCTTCTGTTGTTTGTCTATTGTCTGTTCACACTTGACTACTGCAAATAAACTATTATGTGTTTATTGCATAAACATGAAAAACAAGTAGTATTTTACCTAAGAAAGCACTGAACCAATAACTGGTTTCATTAATATATGATCTATGGTGAGTGACATCATAAGCATAAATAAAACACCCTGACTGATCAGGGGTTTTTGAAACGTCAACTGGATCTCTGTTTATTGCATGCAGTAGAAGGCAGTAAACAAATCATTACAGGAGTTTATCAATTTAGCTGAGAAAATATAAAACCTTCCTCTGTGGTACAAGGGTTGTCAGTGGAAACAACTAAAAAATAAAAAAGAATTTAAGATAAAAGATAATTATGTTAAACTTCAAAATAACTTCAATTATTACCCTCACTTTCAGGAGTATTCAAATGCCTATGAAATATTTTACTTTGGCACTCAGGTAGTCTGTTTCTTTAGCCATATATAACCTGTTCTATCCTTTCATTCCTTTGATATATCATCATCCCTGGAAACAAGGAAAGAGCTATGGCAGATACACGACTTATTAAAAGCAGAAAGGCATCACAGTATTTTATGTCAGAAATTTTCAAAATTTATAATTGCATTACTTCCATCAGAACAAGAAGATTTCCCCATCTGGACAACATGACAAGCAATATCATCACTCAAGATGGGGCATGTTCCAAAACATATAAATAATTCTCTTGAATTTTTAACCACAGATATATATTTCTTTAAGGCCTTCTTCAAGTGGGTTGCTACAAGACAAAAAGTTTTAGCTTGACATTTCAGACAGAGCAGCTGACATTTGAGGGAATAAGCACTGATTAATCATCAAATATATCTAGCTGACAGTTATTACTTGGAAGAAGAAGAGAGCTCATATGGGGTATATCATTTAATTGCTTCATTTTTGTAGGTCACAAGTCATAACTTGCTATTGACTAGAAGTTTTTATGCTGTTTGAATACTTTTCAATGACATTTTGGGCATTGAAAAATATTGAAATACATTTCTGTACATGTAAATAATATTTATTTGAAAACGTCAAGACTAGTACCGACTGAAATACTTAAACAGCTGTTTTGCCCACCCTCCTGCTTCCAATTTTGCAAGTGTTCTTTCTAAGTTGACAAGGTCACTCTCAAACTAAATTGGTATTTGCTTGTTGTACTCTAGCAAGTATGAAACAAATGAAAATACAGACTCTTTGAATGCAAATTCAAGAAGCCTCCAGGTCTTTGTTGGTTTCTTCAGTCAAAAATATTGAAATATTTTTGTTGTGATATACTTTTAGAATTTGTAAACTAAATGACCTGGCTGAAATGAAAGAATGACTGAATATAGAATGAAGTTCTACTTAAACTTCATTAAAATTATTTTATTTGGAAGGTAAGGAACTTATTACTAAACATGCATTTTTAAAATATTAACAGAGTGATACTGACAAATAAAGAAATAACATATACTGGTAGGAAAGTTTGGTCTCTGAGCTATGAAGGTTGGTATTAAGTTCTCTAATACTTCCTCAATAAACAAGTTTCTTTTAGATTCCTCCCTTAGTCTCCTATGGATTTGTCTCATTGCTGTGTACCTACAGTCTCCCCAAAAAGCTTATGAAGAACATGGATAGCAATCTGAGGTGTTACATTTGTTATTGGTTGCTTATAACCAATGTCCTGGAAAAGGTATACAATTAATTGAATTCACTGGTTTCTCTACCCATATCTTTGACAAAAGAGCTTCATTATACTTTGGAATCAACACATATATATAAAGCCTGAGATAGTCCTTATTATATCTCATTAAAAGAAGTGCTTTAAGCAGCTTATTATTGATATGAACATGGATTTACTGGTGAGAGGCTTACTAAATATCTGTATTGCTGCCTGATAGGATCTCCTGATTAATATATCACAGGAGGAATCATACTTTTATGCTATCTTACTGCACAGCCACATTAGAATCAGGTAGCCAAACCACAACCCTGTCCTCCTGGAAACTGCTAGTAGAATTTGAATTTAGTAAACAAGATAGAGCCCAACATGGAAATACCTAAAGAAGAGATTCCTGAAACTTGATTCCTGACATAATAAGTATTCACACACATACCAGTATGAAATGTTGACTTGATTTAGTGCATGATGAACCGAGTCTTTCTCTTCAGATCATATTATTGAAACATGTTACAATGCTATTACTGCTTCACACTCAGAGGGATTTAAGGCTTGTCTTCTGAGAGAACTATCATCACTGCCTTTGTAGATGGGATAATTTTGATTTTAAAAAGTAGTGCTGTTCCAAACAGGTGAGGAAGTAAGGGAGGAAGAAGGAATGCAGAAAATGTGTGAACTTTTTACATCTTTAACTGATGACTTGTACTTTGCGAAACTGCAGTTGGTATGCTTCATTATATCTGGGATGAGCAGGCACAGATAGTTCCATACAAAGATCCATGGGATTCTCTTTCTAGAGATATAAATGATTTCAAATGAAGAGTTTCCATATACGTATTGAATAGCATCTCAAGTAAAAACCAAATGAAACCCAAAACTAAATACAAAGAGGATATCAAAACACCTATTAATCTACTTACTAAGCTGAAAAGTAATTAGATATGGTCCAGGCATTATAAATATAAAAGAAAT